GTGTAGGTCACATTTCGCATCGAGAGAGCTTCAAACTGGTCGTACAAGACGGCGTGGCGCTATTAACATCTCGACTTGTAAGGGCTTCTGAGAAAGAATTGCGAGATTGTACCTGGTTGAACGTGCCGCGTTCGCAATCTTGGCCGCTAAGACGCACGTCGACTCCTTCGGCGAGAAGCGAGCCGAACGCCAAAGCTTCTGCCGTCGCCCAGTCGACGCGGGCACCTGTCTCTACCGCCCGCAGACGATTGTTCATGATGGCTTCCACCTACGACGCACACATGATGGACGTTCCAGTCGAACGCATTGGTACCTTTTTGTGGGCAGTAAAGCCTGGGGGTAGTCGGAAAATCTGGGCGCCAATCTCTTCGAGGAGCTTGCGGTCGACGCCCGTGTCGACTATGCCGGCTCGGAGCGCGTCGTTGGGGTCGTCGACACGGCGCGAGTGGCCGTCGCCCATGTTGTCCCACGGCGAAGGACACGATTTCGAGTGCTCGAGCTCCGCCGCAAGCTCGACCTCGATCGCGTTGGCCAATACCGCCTTGTCGGAGTGCGTCAAGTGACCGTCTTTTAAAAGTTGCTTGTAGTAGAGGTTGATCACGGTCGGGTGCTGGTTGATGCGATGGTACATGACGGGGGCCGTGATCTCGGGCGAGTCCTATCGACATCAACAAAATGTGGTCGTATTATAGAACGTGTGCACCTGCTCGTTGTGGCCATGGCGGCGGTAGCACACGAGATCGACGACGACGTCGCACTTGAACTTTTGCCGGTACTCGACCGCCATTTTCATCACCTTGACGACGGCTTCCGGGTCGTCGCCATTGACATGAAAGATGGGACTGCGTGAGATTTTGGCGACATCACTACACATTGCTGTTAGCACGAGGAACGTCGATGGCAGGAGTACCTGCAGTAGACGGCCGAGTCGGCTTGTTTCGGCAGTGTCGTAAACCCGATCTGGTTGTTGATAATGACGTGGACGGTGCCACCGGTCTTGAAGTCTTCGAGCGCACTAAAGCCAAAGGCCTCGCTACCCAAGTCGTAGATGCCCATCAAGTACGACCAACAAGGGTTTTTGGTGGCGTACCGAACCGAGCCCTGGAACATGGAGGCGTCGCCGTGCAGCAGCAACGGCATCACGCGCGATCCATTCATATCTTGTAGCTGATCCTGGCACGCCCGCGTCTCGCCCAACACGACCGAGTTGACCTACGTCCTCTCAGGATGAAGATCGTAGGACGTGCGATCCATGCATGATTACCGCTTCCAGATGCGACGGGTTCGCGGCCAATTTCACCTACACGCATATTACTGGATAGAAAAATGACATGTGTGAGCACATACATACCTCCATGGTCTTGCCGTTGCGCATCGTGAGGTGCGAGACCGTGCCTAGGTGGTACCGGACGTCGTCCGAGTTGTTCGGATACTCTGGCTCGTCCGGCAAGTACGGCTGGAACTGCGACATGATCGCGTGCAGGGGACGCTGCAAGACATTGGCAAGCACGTTGAGGCGTCCTACATTACTCCATGGAAAATCGAATGCACGAAAGACGGTCGGTCTACCGCGGTGGGCCATCCCCATGTGCACAGAGTCGACGCCGGCGTCACTGGCGCTCTCCAGGAGCTCCTTCAGCCCCGGGATGATGCTCTCGCCGCCTTCGATCGAGAAGCGCTTGGCACCCGAAAAGCTAGGCGATCCTCGGAACCGAGTATTGTGTCACAGAATCTGTACCGCCGACCGAGAAACTTCTCAAAGAGCTCGGCGCGCAGCATGTGCTGGAAAATCGCCGTCTTTTCCGTCGGCGAAAACTCAAAATCCTGCGATTGTGTACCGAATGGAGCATTTCTGGATTGGATAAGTACGTTTTACCTTGTACTTGGTGAGGCTCTGTCGGATCCAAAGCGCAGCATCGCGGTTGCGCAGGTGCTGGTACTCGGTGGCAATGTGCCCACAATACAAGCCCCGGAGCTCGTCCACGATCTGTTGCATAGAGGCGTGAGACGTGCGCGCTTGGTCAATCGCTGTACGTTGCGGAGCGTGGCGACCGGGCCAATCGAGAGGTCGTCGCCAATAAAGAACTCGCGGTCCAGGTCTGCCTCCGAGAAGCCTAGTATGACGGCGTCGAGCTCGGAGAAGCGGAAAGAGACGGCATACCATGCGCCGTGAGCTCGAGGTTCTTGCCGTGCGCGAGCGAGTTGAGGTTGAAGTCGTCAAAGTACGGCTTCTCGACCCAGCGACTGCCCCAGTTCCACTTTTGCAGCTCGGGCATCTTCTCGCCTACGCCACGTGAATGCTCCGCTGCCTGCCAGTAAGTGTGGTATACTG